ATATTTCAATGGTGATGGGGATATACAAGGAATTATACATAAGAAAGGTAAGGGACATCACTTGCTAAGACGAAAGAGTTTACTCTTTGTTATACGCTCCACCAATGTATGGAGAGAGACCCCTTAAGGTCTATATATTTTCTTGATCAGCATAAAATTCTATGTCGATTTAGAGATGTTCGTACGTCTGTCTGTTCATCTGTAAAAATTACTCTAGCTGGAAAAATAGGTCAAACAAGCCCAAGTTTTGGTATGGCCTCTATAAAACTGTACGACATATTTAAAGTCTTTTGGCTGTTTTAGTCAAATTTTAATCCGAATCTGAATTTGCTGTAAAATGACAGTGTCTTCAGTATATAGGTAACATTCATGCATAGAACTATCCATACAGGTCCAAGTTTTGGTATAGTCCCTTTTCCATACAGGAACTTGGTATTTTGATGATTTTTTATCATTTTTATGCCTTTCACATTGGAAAGGAGGGTATATTAACTTTGTCATTCCGTTTGTAATATCCCTTAATATTCCTCGTAAACCCCATAAAGTATATACAGGGTGAGATAAAAAACTGCAACAAAGTCAAACGCCGTAATTTTTACTTTTTTTAAATTTTATTGAATTAACGTAAGAGATGTCGGAAATAGCATCAACATTTAGAATAAGTTTAGATTTGTTCGAATTGGTCACCTTTGGCACGAAAAATGGCCTTCAAACTGCCCGAATGTTGCACTGCGGTATTTTGGCCCATTCCCGGCAAAGAGCTTGCTTGAGGTGATCGACACATTGGAATTTTTTAGTGCCTACCTTGCTTTCCAAAATACTCCAGACACAATAGTGCGATGGTGCTGAGTCCTGTTGGAATGTCCAAGGTCTGCGGCCAAAATGTTTGCGTGCCCAAGGCTTTAATACACTCTTCAGAATATTTTCGCGATAATATTCGGTATTTATTCTGATACCACTGTCGATGAGAGAGAGCGACCATCGGCAGTTATGGCGGCCCACACCATCACCATGGCCGGCGCTTGAGTTCTGGTGGCCAATCGAATGTGCACACAAGTAAACACAATCATTTTGTTTGTTTAGAAACTGTTGGACGACGAATGTTTTCTCATCGGAGAAAACCAAATTCGTACCGTTCACCACTTTCGGCCAAGCGAAGCAAATCTTTAGCTTGTTTGAATCTATTTTCTTTCTGTTGCGGTGTAAGTTCTTGCATCTTGGAATTTCAATGGCTTTACCCCGAGCTCATTTTTCAATATTTGCCGAATAGAATATTGCGATATGTTCAGCTCGCGAGCCATTTTTCGGCAACTGCGACGCGAGTTTCGATCAAGTCGCTGCTTTGCTTTCGAAACATTTCTGCTGATGTTGCTGGAGTGCATTTGTAGGTCATAATGGGTTTTAGCTCCGATGGAAGAACATTGAATATCTAGGTCCATGTTTTCCTATAGCACACATATAAGGATACCCACCGATATTCGGCATTTTAATAATTTTCCAAATTTGGCAATGAAGACCCACAGTATTTAACAACCGTTGTAATATAAAGTTGTCTGCATTGGTATGGCCCCCATATAACGGCCTCACTCACTTTATGGTTTTTTGATAAGTTTAACTGTATTATCCAAACGGCCTTAGTGGTATATGAATTGGAACAGACTTTAATTCAGATATTTTTATATAAAAATGTCTCCTTTAACCAAAGGTGGAGGGTTTCAAAAGTTCGGTCCGGCTTGTTTTTTTTCTAATCTGGCCTTTAGGGTTTTAAGTTCACAACCCTTTGGTTGCTTTAAGAAAATTATTTATACAATTTCCAAAAATTATTAAATATTAAAACAGTTTTGCTTTTTAGTTACGTCATTTAATAGAACGTTTCCATTCATTATTTTCCGATAATTCCTTCTTAATAACTTTTTAATCTCAACACCTTATCAGCCATGGTAACACTGCAGTGCAAATAAAGTTTTGGCCAATATCTCTCTTTTCCTTCAATTGCCCGGTGCATGGCAAATCAAAACAAAATCAAAACACAAAAAGTCGCTAACAAATCTGCAACTACTTCGGTGCTGCTGCAGTGCAGTGCGAGGCCAAGAAAGAATACCAGCAGTGAATGTTAAGTTTGCTGCTGTCTTGTTTCCAATATGAGTGGTTGGCTAACTGGCTGACTTGCATATTTTTTTTTCATTTGTCTACAGACATGTATCTCTGGCAGATAGCACTTGGAACTTGGCTGCCACGTTAGTTCACCCGTTCGGCTGTTCGTTCGTTTGTTTGATTTTGTTGTGCTTTGAATGAGATTTTGAGATTCCATCGCTGGTTCATGGGATTTGTTGGTTGACTAATGCGGCGGCTGCCGGCCGGCCGGCATAAAATGCACAACAGCTAGTCATGGCACCAACAATGGGAATGGGCTTCCAAGTATTCCGATGTAGCGTCGTTGTTTGTCAGCCGGCCGGTCATTTGTGTGGGTTTCTTTGTTGTTGTTGTTGTTGGCCTCAAATATTTGTTTCGAATGGGATGAAATACAAGAAATACAATTTCTTTTCGGCCTCTCACCAATATTATTTATAAGTAGTTTGTAGAATGGATACCAGATTTAGCAGCACCACCCTCCTCTCATATTTTCTTTTTGATCACGTTTATTGTCTTTTGTCAAAACTTTGGAATGTGTGACAGATTTTCACTCCGACGCATTTTACAAGAAAAATTTTAAAAAGAAGCATTGCAACGACAATACCTGTGACTGGCAATGTTTTGAATATAAATCAAAGTTTTAGAAAGTATCCGCCATGACATGGGGCCAACATTTGTCTAGCTCGTTCAATTAATGGCAGCTATTTTATGTGAGAAAAAAATCATTTGCCGTTTGCTGGACCTTGAATACACTCGTTCGTTCATTCATCCGTCCATCCGACCGTTCGTTGTAATCATAATTAAGGCTGTTGCGGGTCTTGATGGACTCTGGCTGAAATCCAATTATTTCAATGCACACACTCACCGCTGCGGTCATTTCAAATGGGCAATGGAATAATCGTGCTAACAAATTTGCCGTAATTATTCTGCTATTATAAAAAAAGACGGTGATAATAACATTTGGTGTGAAAAAAACGAAAGGAATCGGATATTAACGTTAAATTACCAGATTTTTTTGAATGAAAAGAGGGAATGCATATTTGCCCTTTTTAGGCATTTAGCCCAGTCCTTAATTTGGTCTGCACTGAAAAAATGTTAGTCTTTATTTTTAAATTACAATGATTATAGCCCTTCTTTTTAGAGGTAGACACTTCGTTTAGATACATTTTTGATATAAAAAAGTATAGTTCATTTTTATATAAACGAAACGGCGGATTCTAGAATCGTGAAACACAAGAGTTCGGTATGATGGTAGTTTAATGAAATTCGAACTAAAGGGTACGAAAGGTGCCCACAAACTTTTATAAAATGTGATGTAAGAGTCTGATTGTCTTCAAATTACACACAACACAATATTTTTTTGAATCCAAGATCTCATAAAGATGGTAGAGATCGAACCATTCCTTGTGGTACCTTCCCCACAAAGGGTTAAAATTTGAATAACCAAAACTATCATAAAATCTGAAATAAGCATCTGGTTCTCTTCAAATTACACACATCACAATATTTTTACTATCCCAAGGTCTGGTGTGAAGATGGGATATAGCGGTCCGGTAAACCCCCCTACAAAGGGTCAAAATTTAGAGTATCCACGAAGCTCATAAACTCTCGTAACGTCCGATTCTATAAATCAAATTTGAAAATTGTATCTGTTCACTCAATACATGCATAATGCACATTTCCGAAACCACCTACGCCCAGGCTGCACATGAACAGAGACTCTAATACCAAATTTCATATTTCAAGTACTATCTATTCACCCAATACCAAATTGTAACAAATATAATATTATTTAGTACTTTACGAACATGCATTTCATGTTTATCACCATTTAGTACAATTCGCGCATTTAGTGCACATTTCCAAAATCAGCTTTTCATATCAAATTTACTTTCCAACCTCAATTCTCATACCAAATTGTAATTTTTTAGCCTTATCAATTTACATAATGCCAAATGGTACCATTTTAGAAGTTTAATACCATTTCTGAAGCTTTCCTAACCTTAATGTTTAAATTTCCAAAAACCCTTTGCTTCATCGATCCTGCTCTACATCAGAGACTCTCATTCCAAATTTCAGAATTCTAGCTCATCCGGTTTGTCCATACAAAGTTTTAGTTGATTTTAGTGCTATTTCCAAAGACCCTTTCCAAGAACCCTTTTCACTTGCCTATGCACCAAGTCTAACCCCCGTGCAAAACTTCAAGATTCTAGTTTCTGCCGTTTCGCGTAGGCGTTGATTCTTGGTCAGTCAGTTGTATTAAGCGAGGAAAAGTCTCTGAATCTTTACTATGATTAGCAATCCGTCGTACAGAGATGTTTTTGGAGTTTCGTACTCAAAGGGTTTTCGGAAACGATTGGTCCCCATTGGTACTAAATAATGATTTATAGGATATGTGCAATTTTTGATACCAAAAATATATCAATGGGAAAATCGAAACCTTAAAAGATATGCTTGGACGAAGAGCGTATAAATAATACAAATATTGATTCCAGATTTGAAAACATGTCTATGATATGTCTTTTCCCCATCAATTATATACAGGGTACAAAAAATCAATGTTTCGTGTCGTTGTCGTTTAAATAGGAAAATTCTACAGAGAATTCTTAGAAACAAGCAGGTGCTGCCATAAATTTTACTTAATTATAATCACATGAAAATGAGAAAAAATGTTTCTTCCTAACATATCGATAAATTATTAAAAATACATTTGAAATTCGTCTACTCTACCATTGTCGAAATGAAAAAAAAAGTATTGGGCAGTTATATTTCTCGTTTTTATATTTATTTCTCCATATTCATCTTAAAACCAATTATATTTTTAATATTTTATATTAAATATTTTCCTCTCTTTCTTTTGCTTACAGCGTGTTCCACCGCTTCGAGTTGATGATTTAATCAATGATCTGCGCGATGGCACCAAACTGATAGCACTTCTCGAAGTGTTGTCCGGTGAGAAATTGCCCGTTGAAAAGGGTCGAGTTCTGAGACGTCCACACTTCCTCAGCAATGCCAATACCGCCCTGCAATTCTTGGCCAGCAAACGTATCAAGTTGGTTAATATCAATCCAGCCGATTTGGTGGATGGGAGACCACCAGTCGTTTTGGGTTTGATATGGACAATCATTTTGTACTTCCAGGTAAGTTGGCCAAAGAAAAGAAAACTAGTCTAAATAAATAATATTGAATAATAGCACCAAAAAAGAACAACAAAACCAAATGCAAACAATAGCACTCCAAATAGAAAAGAAAAACACCCTAAAGTTGAAAAAATCACTGGTCATCATCGCTCAACACCCATGCTCATACCAAAATCAATAGATTTTCTTCTCCTCATATTCTAGAAAGGCTTTTCACAGTTCGAAGATGTCGTCTCACACACACGCACACAGAAAATTATGAAATATCAAATGTCATTGTTGTTAATTTATATCAATGTATTTTTCTTCTTCTTCTCTTCTACTTATTTTCAATTTTTTTTTGAAACCAATCATTTTTATCGATTTGTCGTAAAACTGTACTTCCAAAATCAAAATTATTGCTAAAACAAAATAGATTCGTAAAAAGAGACGGAAAAATCTATTAGTAGTTATTAATTATAAGCCACAGGTAATTTTGAAAACTGTAGTCAAACCTAGTTTGTAGTCATCTAGAGCAATTCGAGATACATATTGATTTATTCTTTCTTGCAGTGTAGCGTATTTAGTTGTATGAATGTGTGTGCCAACTGTTGATGTTGTTGCTGTGTTTTGTATGAAATCCGATTTTAATGCACATCTCTTCCTTTCTTTCGTTAATTTTGATTTATTTTTATGATTTTGATTACATCTCACATTAGTTTGTCACTGAGTTGAACATTTTATTTTCATTTTTAGAACACCGTATTTATTCCCGGTATTAAATGCCAAGGAGAACAATGAAATATTTTTAATTCATCATTTAAATATGGCAAAAATTTGAAAAACCATAATTCCTGGGCAACGATTCGAACATATTTTTTAAGGGAAAACAACGGATTCGGTTGGATATCGTAGTTATGTTTGTATTATTCCCTCGTTTAATGGCATTGAAGATGGTCACATTTAGAGCTGCTACGTTCGACAAAACTGTCTGTTATTGTTTAAAATCTTTTCCTTTCAAGGAAAAACGTAAAAAAGTATCAATTGGTTTTGCCGACAGATGTATACCTCAGCCAATGTTGACCTTCTACAGGTTGAGATAAAAAACTCTAACAAAGTCAAACCCCATAATTTTTAATTTTTTTTTTTTTTTGAAAATTTTATTGAATGAAAGCAAAAAATTTCGGAAATAACATCAAATTTTAGAATAAGTTTAGATTTGTTCGAATTGGTCACCTTTGGCACGAATTATGGACTTCAAACGGATAATGAAACCGTCACACGCTGCCCGAATGTTGTTCTGCTGTATTTTGGTCCATTCTCGGCGAAGCGCTTGCCTGAGGTGATCGACACTTTGGTATTTTTAGTGCCAAAATTCTCGACACAATAGTCCAATCCGGTGGATTAGTATTCGGAGATTTTGGTGGCCATTGTGGCGAGGAACCTCATTTTGTAACCATTTTTGGGTGGCACGTGCTGAGTCCTGTTGGAATGTCCAAGGCCTGCGGCCAAAATGTTTGCGTGCCCAAGGCTTTAATACAACCTCCAGAATATTTTCGTGATCATATTCGGCATTTATTCTGACGCTACGGTCGATTAATACGAGCGGAGAGCGACCATGTGGCTGCTATGGCGACCCACACCATCACCATGGCCAGCACTTGAGTTCTGGTGGCCCACCGAAGGTGCACATTTTCAGCTGACCATCTGCTGGATAACGAATACTTTCTCATCGGAGAAAACAAAATTCGGCAGTTCACCACTTTCGGCCAAGCGAAGCAACTCTTTAGTTCTTTTGAGTCTATACGGGGGAGGTACCCAAAGGAGTGGGCCGAGATATCCCATCTCCATACCAGATCTTGTGTTAATGGAAATATTGGGATGTGTGAAATATGACGAATTTTATAACCGTTTTGGTTATTCAAAACTTTGACCCTTTGTGGGGGAGGTACCAGAAGGAATGCTCCAATCTCTACCATCATATAACAGATCTTGTGTTGATAGAAATATTGAGATGTGCCAAGTCTGAATGAAATCGGATGTTTATATCGTGTATTATGAGCTTAATGGGTTTTCAAAATTTTTACTCTTTTTGGGGGAGATCAGATCAGATGAAGTGGACCGAAACATTCCTTCTTTACACCAGACATTGGATTAATAAAAAATTGTTATGTGTGTAATTTGAAGACAATCGGATTCTTACATAACATTTTATAAGAGTTATAGCTATTTAAACTTTTGACCCTTTGTGGGGGAGGTACTTGATAGAGTGGACCGATATTGTCCATTTTCTCACTTGGTGCAATAATTAGGATTTGCAAAGTAGGAGCAAAATCGTATTATCCTTTTTCTTTCTGTGCAATAAATTATTTTCTTTGAAAATGTTGACATTTTGAGTGGGATGTACCAAAAGGAGTGGACCGATATTGCCCATCTCCGAACTCGATCTAAGTTTGACAATAATATTATAAGGTATCATGTTTGGATCAAATTGGATACTACCTTCGAGAGTTATTGTGGGCACCAGCCAGAGAAACGGACGGACGGACATCGCTAGATCGACTGAAACGGATTTGGTCCAAAGCGACCTAGGGTCTAAAAATCCCAACCACAGTGCTATTCGAGTATAGTTTTCTATTCGGCTGATATAGTGGTCTTGATGGCATTCGGGTAGTAACAGTTGCAGGGACACCCTTTGGTTGAACCAAATCTGAAACAGGAAAAGAAAGTCGCCAATGGTGATTAAATCTCTGCCAAGGCTACTTAATTCGTACTGGATATAAACCCAGATGATAGTAATGGAATTTGCCCCACCAAACAATGTGGTGAATAGGAATTATTTCTCATACTTTGAACATGAAGTCAACATATCCAACCCAAATTATCTCTAAATCGTACTGTCATTGGCAACCAATCGACTCCCACAAAAACAAAGCCGACGGAAATTAAAACTGCGTCATCTGCCTACATTACTATACTTCTATACATAATCCCATGTTACTGTACTTCTTTAGGCTGTTGATGAGAGCCCACTTACAATTTTTGGCTTTGCACCCAGATCACGTTATCGTCAGATTTTTAGTGTAAATTGAGAACTGAAATTCATTATTGCTTCTCATAACTAAATAATAGTCTCAATTTCCGCAATATCGAATCGTAAAACATACTTTCTACAGTTATTCTTCACATGGTGGAGAGTATTAACAATTCGACCCGGCAAACTTTAACCCCTTTATACCTGTGGATAGTTAATTTTTTTAAGAACATCTCCTCACATTTTCATTTATATTATTTTCCTCGATTTTAGTTTCGTTGTGCCCCTTTAGTTTGCTACCACATTGTGTGTTTTGTTTTCTTTTTCACTTGAAGAGAATGTCAGATATTTAAAAACAAGAAAAAAAAAACATCCATTAATTGGGAAGCCTTACTAACTGCTTGAACAACTTGTGTTCTTTTTTCTCTTGTACCTTTTTACAGATCGAAGAGAATAGCCGCAACCTTGAATATTTGGGTCATGGTATCAGTGGTTCGGTTAGTTCTCTGGACAGTGTTGGCAAGAATGCCAGCGATGTCAAGGCCGAGAAATGGAAGCAGGGAGCCCGTAAGACTTTACTTAACTGGGTAACCAATGCTCTGCCAAAGTAAGTATTGAATTGACTTTCTCTCCCACATTGTATTCTGATCATTTGTCTAAATTGCAGAGAGAGCGGTGTAGAGGTTAAGGATTTCGGCGCCAGTTGGAGAGATGGTGTCGCCTTCCTGGCCCTCATCGATGCCATTAAGGCTAATCTGGTTAATTTGGCTGAACTGAAGAAGACAAGCAACCGTCAACGTCTCGAAACTGCTTTCGATGTGGCCGAAAGCAAATTGGGCATTGCCAAGTTGCTTGATGCTGAGGATGTGGATGTACCCAAGCCCGATGAAAAGAGTATTATGACTTATGTGGCTCAATTCTTGCACAAGTATCCCGAACCAAAGGTAATACCAGACAGAGTGGATTTTAGGTTGAGCAAATCTCAAAAAATTATCTTTATTTTCATTTTCCAGGGTGCTAACAAGGATCTGTCACATATCCATCAAGAACTGGACGAGCTGAGACGTTTCTTGGTGGAGAAAACCACGGAATATGAGCCCATGGTCCTGGGCAATTCGTTCCCGCGAGACTTTGCCGAATATCTGATTGCTCGCTCCGAGGTTGATGCCCACATACCAACCTACAATCGCTTGAAGCAATTGGTGGAATCACAAAGTGGTTTCCTCCAGGTGCCCAAACACACCTGGGAAGACATTAACAGCCTGTGGCAACGCGTCCAATATCAAATGATGTACTGGTTGTGGCTCCTGGATTCAGAGCTACCCGGTGACTTTGGTGAGGTTGGCAAATGGCTGGCTGAGGCTGAGAAAATTCTGATGGACAATGATATCCCCAGTTCCATGAATGAAGAAACGGCCGCCATCATATCACGCAAATTGGAGGAGCATAAACTGTTCTTTGCCGATTTGCCTCGCATCATTGCCATGTTCGACAACGCCAAGCGTTCGCCTTTGGCCCAACAAGTGCCTTTGGAACAGTTGCGCAACATGGAGAAACGTTTGCAGGATGTGGGCCCACGGGCCAGTGAACGTAGAATCAGATTGAAGTTCTTGGAACACAAGTGCTGTTTGGTGGCCTTCTTGAATCTGGTCGAGAACAAGATGAAGGGATGGACCGGTAAATATGGTACCGAAGACAAGGTGGCCCTTCAACTGGAACAGTACAAGAACTTTGTGTCGCGCAACAAGATTTTCCAAGAATTCCAAAAGGCTTTTGTCGACATGCAACAAGTGGTTGACGAATACAAACGTGACGGCAACGTGTCTCGCAAAGAGACCATTGACATTGATCGTTTCATGTATGAGACCGAGGAACGATGGAAGCGTGTCTCCATGGAGTTGAAATGTTGTCAGAACTCCTTGGAGGAAGTGGTCAATTGCTGGAAGACATGGCATCAATTGGCACCCAACTGCGAAGAGTGGCTACGTGTGGCCGAGCAAAAGGCCATGCAATCGGAAGATGAGAAATTGGAATTCTTCCAAGACATTTCCGTGTGGAAGGATAAGTTCGATGCTCTTGCCAATGCTGCCAACTACTTGATTGCTTCTTGCGAAGAGCCCATAGCTCAAAATCTGAGACAGCATCATGGCATGTTGTCCGAGCGCTTTGAACGCCTCTTTGCCAATACCAAGAAATACATGCATGCCGGTGACATCATCCGAGCTCGCCAGGAATACAAATCTGGCATCGAAAAACTTTCGCAATGGTTGCGTTATGCCGAAAGCGTCTTAAACCAAAAACAACAATTGGGAGACAGCGAAGCCATTCGCAAATATGGCGATGAATTACAAAAACTGGCCTCCGAAATAGACGACAATGAGGAGTTGTTCAAGACCATCAGCCGCAACATTCAAGGCATGATCCAAGATCTGTCGCGTGAAGAGGTCGACAACATGATGAAGACCCTGAAACAAGAGAAGGAAGCTTTGGTGCGCATTAGAGCCCAAATTCCCAGCAAGCTGCATTTGATCCATCAATTGCTTATCCAACAGGAGTCTTTGGAAGCCGGCCAAAAGGAAATCCATCAATGGCTGAACGAAGCCGAGTCGTTGCTTGGCACCCACACCTTGGCCGGTGGACGTGACAAGATCAATGAAGAGCTCACCAAACACAAGACATTCTTCTCGCGTACCGTTTACTACCGATCTATGCTGGAAAGCAAGAACAAAGTCTTCCAAAATCTGCTGAGGAATGTAGTCCAGGATGAGAACATTGATACCACACAAGCCCAACACAACATGCAACAGTTGAATGACCGCTTCAACTACGTCATCAACAATTCGCAACAATGGGAGCAGCGCTTGACGGATTCCCTGAACAGCTGGAACCGTTACAAGGACAATGAGAGGGTGGTTACGGAATGGTTGACCCAGGCCGAAACAATAATCATTGAAAAGCACATCGAGACCAAGACCACCATTGAAACGCAGAAGTACTTCTTTGAAAATGTCAATCAAAGATGGATGCCCGATTTGGTAGACTCTGCTCAAGAACTGTTGAAAACCCTGCCCACTCAAGAACAAAAGCCAGTTGTGGATTCAGTTGAACAACTGCAGAACCGCTGGCAAAATGTTTTGGGTCAGGCTCCTCTGCATCTAATGAAGCTGGAATTCCGTTCGGATGAGCAGGCCTTCCAACAGACCATGCAAGAGGTTGAAAAGGAATTGAATTTGGAAGAACAGGCTCTCAATCGTAATGAGGATGTTGATTCAATTTTGAAACGTAATCAGCAATACTTCCTTCAATCTGGCTGCTTGCCTCGTTTGGAGAAGTCTTTGCAGAACATGCATCGCTTGGGCCAGGCCTACAAGCAGCAAAAACCAGGTGATAGCAGTCTCGAGGATGCCTACAAGAACGCCCACTCTCAATACACCCACCTGACTAACAAGATTGCCTCAATGCGCGAAACCTTACAGCAAATCCCCGCCCAATGGGAATCCTATCACGACAAATTCACCGAAATGGTGGAATGGATGGACACCGTGGACAAGAGTTTGAAGAATATTGTCAACGAGGTCAACAGCATGGAAGAGTTCGAGAAGGAAAAAGTCGTATTCCAGGTAGGTTAACTGAAATAACATACCAAGCATAACTATAACGCTTCAATAACTAACTCGCATATTTCCATTTAATTGACACATGCAGCTCAGGGAACTTGTGGTAAACGATTAGACTTTCTGTCATTAAACTTATTTCATTTTCATAAAGTGCTTTTCCTTAGACAATTCAATTAATTCTCTACTCTTTTCCGCCTTTAGAAAATCTGCCAAGAAGCCGACAATAAACGTGAAGATATGAAGTGGTTGGTCAAGACTTTGGATCACCTACTCAGCTATGCCACCGAAGACGAGGCCAATGCCGAACAAAAGAAGTTGGAAGACTTGATTGCTCGTTACAAGAACCTCATACCAACCATTGAGATCACCATGGTTAAGACGGAGGTGTTCTCCAAATGCTACACCTACCGTCGTGAGGTTCACGAAGTCGTGTGCCTTCTTAGCAAAGTTAAGGAGCAGGCAGCCAGCATACCACCACCCGACAGCCTGGAGCGTGTCAACAAACTAATTGAGGAGCAGCAATATGCCATCAATCAATTGGACCATCAACGTCCTCACATTATGTCCATGTTGCAGAGAGGTCGTGATTTGAGCAAGGATGTGCATGCACCATCCTTTGTCCAGGTCGAAGTTAAGAACTTGGAAACCGGCTGGAATGAGGCCTACACTGAAACTTCCGACAAGTTGCAAGCCCTGAAGGGTACCCAAGCTGTTTGGAATGACTTTTCCGATCAGAAGGCCGAAATTTGCCATCTTCTGCAAATGGCCGAAACCGAATTGCGTGCCCTCACTCCTTTGCAAACGGATCCTAAGAACGTAAGCCAAGATTTGAAGGCTAAACGTGAACTGAATGCTCAGTTGCAACAAGCCTCGCACCAACTGCTGCCCAAGTTGCATGCCTTGAAGGCTGAATTGGCTCCCTTGGCTGCAGCTGAGAAGAGACCCATCCTGGAGAAGGAAGTAACCGAAGTCGAAAAGATGTTCTTCAACACCATGGAACATGTCAAGGACCGTGTTGGCTACCTAGAAGATTACAGCGCCAAATGGAATAACTACAAGTCACGCTTGGCTGCTCTGCAAGAATGGGCCAATAAGGTAGCGCCCAAGGCCATTGAAGCTTTGCATTCGGAGGACTTGACACCCGAGGAACGTGTGATGAAGGTCAACGCTTTCAAGACTGTCTTGGGTGACCGCATGAAAGAATTGGACATCCTGGCTGCCGATGCTTCCGAATTGGCGCCCAAGGAGGGCAATATTGCTGAAGCGAAACGCCTCAAAGGAGAGATCACCAAACTGCAGGAAGTACTCAGTGCCATTAACCGCAACGTGGATCACCAAGCCCAAGCCGTCAAGGAAGATCTTGTCAATTGGCAACAATTCCAGACTGGCCTGCAGCACCTGAAGCCCATCGTGGAGGAATGCGAAATCAAGGTAAATAACATAGTCCCTAAGCCATTGTCCCTTGAAGAAGCTGTTGCTCTGCAACAGAATGCCTTACAATTTGAAAATCATTGCTTGGAGCAATTAGACCGTCTCCAAGGCATCTCAAACATTACACACAAAATGTTATGCAAAACCAATGCCCCCGATGAAGTAGATGCCATGCATTCCCGTTGGACGTCCGTGCATGAGAATGCCAAACAGGCTAGTGCTAAGTTAGAAAAACTCGTCGCCAACTGGAAATCGTTTGAAAATGAAGCGGGTAAATTGGAGGATTGGGTGGAGAAGGGCGAACAAATGGTAGCCCGTAAACCCAGCATCCTCAATACGCCGCACATTGATAAGTTGGAGAACGAATTGGTTCGTCTCAAGTCGTTCAACAATGAAATATCCGAACAGCAAGCCAAACTCGTGGCCCTCGGTCAGGCTGCCGATCAAATTAGCTTACATTTAGCTCCCGAAGGAGCAGTTGCCGTAAAAGACCGCGTAACTGGTTTGAAGGGCAAGCTACAAAAGCTTTCCGAAGCCACTCGCGCCAACATCAATGAAATCTCCGATGCCATTATTGCTCGTCAAGATTTCAACGCTAAAATGGTTAACTTCTCCAATTGGATGGACTCTCTGAGGTCCCAAGTCGCCCAAGTGGAAGAAATCAATCCGGAACGTGTCGAGACAAGTTTGCATGTCATCCATGCCCTGTTGCAGGAGCATAACGACAAGAAACCTGCCTTCAATGCCATCTACGACGAAGTTAAGCAATTGTCCCTTGCCGCCTCCCCCGAGGAGAGCAAGAGCCTCAACGAAGCCTATTCCGCCTTGGTGGTTAACTATCAAAATCTCGAAACCAACATGCAACAAAAGAAATCCTGCTTAGAAAAGTGGACGGAACTGTTGAATTGGAAACATGAGACCGAAAACCACTTGAACTACATCAAACATCAAATCGAGAAGCCCGATGCTCCGCAATCGCAGGACTTGAATAAGATAATGTCCGAAATAGAAACTATTGCCAAAACAGTGCCTTATTGGAAGACTCAAGCCAAGGAAATCGATGAGAATCCTGTCATCCATCTCAAGGATGCTCTGACCCGCAAACCATACATTGCCACCCAGATTGTGAACGATGTTGAAAACAAACTGGAAAATCTGCAACTGCGCACGCAAAATCAAAAGCAACAAATCGAACAAATGCAAGTCCGCAAGGATAAATTCCACAACTTGGAGAATAATTTAGGCCAAGCCTTACAGGACAACAGAGCCAAATTGGCTGACATCTTGAAACGCAAGCCGAACTTGGATAATATTGATCAAATCATCTGCGACTTGGTAGCACTGAATGATGCCCTCAAGGTCCAATCGGACTTGAAGAATCGCATTCACGACGAGGGCAATCAACTGATGCGCGAAGACATCGCCAGTATGCCAGCCATTCAGGAGACTCTCCTGCATTTGGACAAGGACTATGACTCCTTGCAAGGCGAAATTGCCGAACGTATTCAGAAATACCAATTGATCTCGCAGGCCTTGAGAGAATTCGCCGACTGCAAGAATAAGTTCAGCCAAGAGCTGAAGAAGGCCCAAGATTTGTATCACTCGATCCCACAACAACCCAGAGACGAGGTTGAATTGCATCAAGCCTCTGAAAAGACTCGCAAAACCATGGATCAAGTCCGCAAGTCGAAGGTGGTGCTCGATGAGTTGGACCGCAAGGTGGCCAATGTCGGAAAGTTGTTCGACAACATTGGCGAGGTCATGCCCCAAGATATACCCAAAGACTTTGCCGAAGCCAAACAGAAGTGGCAGGAGTTGCACGACAAGACCGTTAAGAATGCCCACATGTATGAGACTGAAGCGATTATTTGGTCTCAAATCGAGGACGCCAAGAAGGATCTCGTACCATGGTTGACAGAGACTAACCAGGGTTTGTGTGACGCCGCCGATAACAGCATGGAAATTGAATTTGCCCCCATGCGTCTCACGAAATATCGCTCTGAGTTGCCCTCATACCAGGCCCTGAAGGATACCATTGCAGAAAAATCCGCCGAACTTCTCAAGATCAACAACAACGTTGAAATACCTGCCTTAACCGCACTCAATGAACTTTTGAATGCCCAATTCCAAGAGGTCGAGTCCAATGCGGAACGTTTGAACAGCATTACAGCCCAGTTCAACGATCAGGAACAGGAGTTGCGTAAAAACATCAAACAAGCCGGTGAAAATGTGGCCAAGCTCAGGGAACAGCTCATCAAGTGCGACGATATGTCCGGCGACAATGCCAAGATACTGGAACGTCTACAACAGTGTAGAGCTTTGCAAGGCCAGCTAGGTCAAACCGGCAACGATATTGACAATATCAAGCAGAAGGTCGAAGAGCTGCGCATCCTCTATCCCACTTTCAGTGAATCCATAATTCCCAAGGAGCTGAACAATGTCCAAAAGAGATACGAGGGCGTAGAAGTCTATGCCAAGAAAATCGAAAACTCTCTGCTGCAATTCCTGAAGAAGTTCCATGCCGATCGCGTCAACATGTTGAAGCGCATCATTCAAACACAAAAGGAGAAGGTGAATTGGTGCCAACCCGAAAGCACTTCGGACAAATACAATTTGGATGTGAAGAAATCGTCGCTTCAAGAAGTTAGCAAAGCTTTGGACGACTGCACGAAGCGTCAGGCAGACATTGCCAATTCCCTAGAAATGTTGAAAGCCATTGAAACGCCACAAAATATGGCCGAACTTATCAAGGACTCAGAACGTCTGAATGGCGAGATGAGCGATCTACAAAAGGCTTTCGATCAAATTAAAAACATCCTCGATGAGAATGTCGATCTGTGGACTCAGTACGAGAAATCCAATGAGGAACTCAACTCTTGGCTACGAGACATTGAGGGTCGCATTAAGGCCGAGACAAGCAATCAAATCGACCTGACAAATATTCCACAGAAGATGGAGGAATTGATGCTATTGAAGCAGGACATTGACAATCACGAGCCTGTGATTAACAACTTGGAGAAGACCTCCCAGCAGTTGATTAACAAGAACCCAGAAGCCCGCATCGGTCAATTTGTGACGCACTTAGTGCAACGCTACCAGACTGTGGGCAAGGGATTGCAACAATACATGGACAAATTGAAGGACGCATCGAAGGCCAATGACGAATACAATCGTGCTCTCAACGAAGCCACCGAATGGTTGGGCGAAGCCAAGATTGAATTCCAAGAATTGGCTAGAATGGGTTCTCCCGGCTCGTCATCAGCCACTGCACAACAATTGCAGACCATTAAGAATTATCTGAACACATTCGACAATGGTCAAGTGATCCTCAACAATGTTGTCGACCTGGGAGAGTCGTTGTATCCCACTGTGACACCCGAGAACAGGGAAAAGATTCGTGCTCAGCTAAGAAATCTGAGAGAAAACTTCGACTATTTGAGAGACGAAGCCAATGCTCTCTTGCAACAGGTCGAAGGTGTCCTCATTCAAAAGACCACAATTGAGGAAAGCTATGCCCAAGTTTCGCATTATCTCAACGAGTCCAAGGCCAAGGTCCTCAAGGCTGACGAACTCTATCCCACACTGGCGGCCAAGAAAGCTGCTCTGCAAAATTACAAGATCCAATTGCAAGAGGCCACCCTGCACAAGAATGCTTTGAAACAATTGCAGGAACGTGCTGTGGCTCTTTGCGATGATGAATCGGAACGCAAGACCGAAGAGTCCATAAACGAATACACCGACCTGGCCAAGAAAATTACCGACCGCATCAATGTCGTCACCAATCAAGTGGCCAAACACGAAGCCTACGACCAGGTATTGGAAAAGGCACAAGATTGGCTGAACACAATTAAATCGGAAGCCATAGATATTCTGAATGAGACCACTTTCGAAAAGGAAGGAGCAGAAGAGAAGCTTCAGGTCGTAGAAAATCTGTTGCAGCACAAACCTGAAGGTGACACCATTTTCGAAACTTGCCAGCAACTTCTGAACACCGTCCTATCCCAGACTCATCCCTCTGGCCATCCGGCTTTGTTGAAGAGCTTCCAGGAACCCAAACAGGCCTGGGATGACTTCATGATGTTGTGCCAAGACTCGCAAGTCAAACTTAGACAGCTCTGCTCGAAATGGGATGAGTTCGAGACGGTGATCGATGAACTGGACAATTGGATGAAGAATGTCGAGGCCATTGTTAAGAATCAATCGCTGAAGAACACTGCCGAGGCCAAGAAGGCTCATCTCCAACAGTTGCTCGACATCTCGAAGGATATTGAGAAGCGTGCCAAATCCATCAATGACTTGATGGATCAAGGACGTGAAATTGAGGGCGAAACAGATTTGAATCTAAAACTGTCCCGCCTCAATACCAGATATCAAACTTTGAAAAATCTCTGCAAGGAATCAGTGGCTAAATACCAGAACTATGTCAAGGATCACGAAGCCTTCGATCAAGATTATGAGAAATTCAAAAAGGATTTACAATCCTGCATTGATGAGTTGGAGAAGAACAAGGACATCGTTGGCGACCAAGCCATTCTGCAAGAGCGCCAAAATAAATTGCGCGACATGTCCGACAAGCGTATCAATGACAGCACTGCCTTTGAGAATCTCATCGATCGTGGTGAGAAACTCTATGGTCACACTAGTCCCGATGGTCGTGAAATCATCAGACAACAGCTCCGAAATCTACGCACTATGTGGGACAATTACACCGATGACTTGAATCAAGCCTCCCAAAAGATTGACCACTGCCTGTTGCAATTCAATGACTTCTCCATTGCCCAGGATCAGTTGACCAAGTGGCTCAAGGATGTCGATAAGGCCATGCAATCTCACACCGAACCCAAGACCACTCTGCAGGAGAAACGTGCCCAATTGCAGAACCACAAGTTGTTGCACCAGGAAATCACCACCCACAATGTGTTGGTGGACAACGTGTGCGACAAGGCCCAAGTCCTGGTCGATCAAATCAAGGACAATTCCCTGAATGTTTATTTGCAATCGATCAAACAACTCTTCAACAACATTGTCCAGAAGTCGGAGGAGATCTTGAATAACCTGGACGATTGTGTGCAAAAACACAATGAGCTGAACAACCAAATTGCGGCTGCCAAATCCTGGATTTCGGGTGAAAAGGCCAAGCTGCTGGAGTGCGATGATGCCTATGGAGAAAAATCCGATATCAAACGCAAAATTGAGACCCTCCAGAGTTTGTCTCAGAATAAACCACAAGCCATGAAACTGGTATCCGACATTCGAGAGCAATTCGAAAAGGTGAAACCATCGACCTCCGAGAAGGGAGTCGATGTCCTCGACAAGGAAATCAACGAACTGGAGGTGACCATTAAATCTCACTTCGATGATATCGAAGGTATTGAGGGCAAACAAAAGGACGTTCTTCAGCAATGGCAGAACTTTGAGGAAAAATTGGAAGAGCTCACAAAATGGTGTCGCGCTGCCGAGGCTGTGTTCCGCGAACAACAACTGCAATCCACCCTGCACGAAAAGGTTGAACAACTGGAGAAATACAAGATTCAACGCGATCTGATTCTGCAAAAGGAGAAGGAGATCGATGCCTTTGCCGATGCGGCCCATGCTTTGCTGAACAATTGCGGAGCCGAGCGTTTGAAGACGTTGACTTCTCAAATCACCAACCGCTATCAGTTGCTGCAAGTGCTCAGCAAGGAAGTCGTGAACCGCTGGTCCAACCTCGTTGATGACCATCAATTCTATCAGGACAAATACAATGAGGTTGACCTCTGGTTGGAACCCATCGAAAAGCAATTGCAAAATGCCGAAAAGGAAGATGCATCCCAAGTGTCGAACATCCTTCCCATTCTACTGTCGGAGAGGGAACAAGCCGACACCTTGTTTGCCGCTCTCAATGCTGCCGGTGAAAAGGCCTTGCCCGAAACTTCCACCCAAGGTCGCGAGAAATTGCGCAAGGAAATGCGTGATATTCGCGATCGCTGGGACAAATTGGACGAAGGTATTCGCAACTTGCAAAAGAAACAGGAAGCCCAGACAGTTCAGCTCTCCAGCTACCAAGACATACTTGGCCAAGTGATCAATTGGTTGGATCAAGTTGAGAAGGCAGTGCAGAATGAGAATCCCTCAACCTGGACCAGTGCCCAGGAGATCCGCTCGAAGCTCTATAAATTCAAGACCACCCAGCAGGATATCAATTCGCATAAGCGTATAGTTGAGGCTGTAAATGAAAAGGCCGGCTTGTTGCAGAGTTCCGCTTTGCCAGCCAATGCCGCTGAAATCAAGCAGGCTGTCGAGAAGGTGAACCAGAGATACGACAAAGTCTCTGCCGATTGCAACAATTTACTGCAACAGCTGGAGGAAGCCTTTGACGTATATCAACAGTTCAGTGAATTGCAAAAGGCCCAACAGGACTACCAGAAGAACCTTTGGGATCGTTTGACCGGCTACTCTGACTATTCGGGTAACAAACCAGCCTTGCAGGCTCGCCTGAATAAGGTCAGCGAGATTATGGATTCCCTACCTGAAGGCTTGCAAAAACTACAGATTCTGTCCGATCACATTGACAACAACACCAAGGTCTTGCCAGCTCGTTCCAAGGAGGCGATGACCCGCGATCTCAGCAACTTGCGTGCTGACTTTGAGAAGTTCTCAGCTGCTCTGACTGATGTTAAGAGCGGTCTAGAAAGTCGCCTGCAACAATGGAATGACTATGAGGTCAATTTGGATCAGCTAATCTCATGGCTGGGCGAATCGGAAAATGCCCTGAAGAACTATAATCCCAAAGCCACTTTGGAAGAGAAGGAAGAACAGCTGAACAAATTCCAGAGTCTTAACCACAATTTGCGCCAAAAGGAAGTAGAGTTCGAGAAAATCAAGGACGACTCCTCCGAGTTGATCCAAAGTTCGGGCGAAACTCGCATTGCTGTGAATGTGCAACAGGTTACCTCGCGATTCCAATCTATCCAGGCCACCACAAAGGAGATTTTGAAGAAGTGCGAACAGGCTGTTCAAGATCACCAGATGTTCAACGAAAAGTACAAGCAATGTTCCGATTGGTTGGCCAGTGCTCAAGCCAAATACGACGATAGTAGCGATTTAAGCCAGGTCGGCTCCCGCGATGATTTGCTTAAGAAACAAATTGCTGTCCAGGAACTGTTGGCTCAACAGCCCTCTGCTACTTTGCTGCTTAACAACACCATTGAGTGCGGCGAGAAGTGCTACCCATCAACAGCCACCGAAGGACGCGAAGCCATACGCTCCCAACTGGAGGAATTGCAACAAACGTTCGACCAACTCTTCGACAACATCACCAGCAACAGCCGCAAGATCCAAGACAAAATGTCTAAATGGTCCGGTTTCGACGAAATCGCCGAAAAACTCAAGAACTGGTTGGCCGAAATTGAAAAGGCAGTACCCGGCGAAATTGAACTCAAGACCACCTTGGATGAAAAACGGGCCAAGTTGCAGAATTACCGCGACTCTCTGAACGACATACAGAACCACCAAGCGGAAATTGGCAATCTGCAAGAAATCGCCGCCAATTTGCCCGAGAAGACGGAGCATGTCGAAGCGGCCACCAAGGAAATTGTGGACCGCTACAACAAAGTCCAGAAGAGAGCCCAGCAATATGTGGAGAACTACGAACGCATTGTCAGTGCCCACCAGCAGTACTGCAAGGCCGTTATGGATGCCCAGGAATTCATCGAATCAACCCATTCCACCATTGACTATTGGGGAGATTTGGACTTGGAGCAGGTATCTCTGCACACCAACATGGATCGCTTGAAGAATTTGAAGGCCAGTTTGGCCGATGAATTCCCCCGCGTGGATCAAGTTAGGTCTCTGGGTGAGAAGGTAATTCCCGGCACCGTAGACGCCGGTCAAGTGAATATCAAGACCCAAATCGACAACACCCAACAGGAGTGGGAGGGTTTGATTGCCGAACTTAATTCCACCATAGAAGCCATCGAGTTGCGTCTCCAACAGTGGTCCGACTACGAACAGTTGCGTGACCAATGCTTGGCCTGGATTAGAGACTGTGACAATAAGTTGCACTCCATCGACTTGAAACCAAACTTGGGCGAAAAGAAATCTCAATTGGAGGAGTTGAAGAATTTGCAAGGCGAGGTTAGAGCCAAGGAATTGGAAATTGACAATGTCTCCGAAAAGGCTCAGCTGCTGATGAAGGGTCCCTCGGCATCACGTAGCTCTGGACCTGAATTGGTCACGAAATACCAACAGCTCTTCCACAAAGTGAAGGAACTTAACAATCGTTGGCAACAGTATGTCACTACCCATCAAGACTTTGAGAATAGCATTTCGGAATGCACCTCCTGGATAAATGGCATTAAGGAAAAACTCGACTACTGCTCCGACATGAGCTCGATGAGTCAAAAAGAATTGGACAAGAAATTAGCTACCATCCAAGATATCATCCTCATGAAGGACGAAGGTTCTGCCAAGGTGCTCAGCATCGTGGAAATGGCTCAAAACGTTTTGGCCAACACGGCGCCCAACGGTCACGACGCCATTAACAAAGAATTGGCGGACTTGCAAGAATTATGGTCGGCAATTGCCCTGCGCATCGTTGATGTCAAGGCCCAACTGGATGATTCCATAACGCAATGGTCTGGTTTCCTGGAGCAGGTACAAAATGTTTCGAAATTCAACGATTGGTTGGATAACACATTGAAGGAGCTCTCCGAACTACAAGCCACCATGCCTGAGAAGAGAGCACAACTGGATCGGGTCAAGACAACTGAGGAAAAGGTGCGTGTCGAGAAGATCGACGTCGATGCACTTAAGTCGCAGGCCAAGGATATGATTGCCAGTGGCCAGCAAAGTCAGTCGGCCTTCCAGGCCCAAAAGGTTTTGGACCGATTCGACGAATTGGCGGCCAAGTCGCAGAAATTGCTGTCCGAAAGACAAGATCAGTATCGCGATCACAGGTTGTACAAAGAGGCCTATGATGATTTGGTAAGCTGGATTAGCAGGGCCCGCGAGAAGTTCCCCTCGTTGAAGCAAAGCTCACTGAGCGATAAACTGGCCATAGAAAATGCTGTACAGGCCACCGAAAATATGCTGAACAAACAGGCCCAAGGTGAGTTGTTGGTTGAACACCTGACGCACACTGGTGAAGTGGTGCTGGCCAGCACATCTCCACAAGGTCAGGAAATCATACGCAATGATATCCGCTCTTTGCGTGACAGTTTCGAAAGTCTGTTCCGCGACATTAACTCGCAAAAGGAGAACCTTGAAGAAACTATGTCGCAGTGGCGTACCTATAAGGAGGAGTACGAGCGCCTCATTGAGTGGCTCCAACAAATCGATGTTTTGGTCAAGAACCATAAACTCAACCTTATGCCCAACTTGCCGGAAAAAGAAAAACAGGTGGCTGATATGCGCGACATCATGAAACGGTTAGAAAAGGGCAAGGACGACATTGAGAAATTCAATAAATCCGCAGCAGGCCTACTAAAATCCCACCTCGATACGTATGTCAACAATCAGTTGAGACATTTGAACTCAGTCTATCAGGTGCAGGTCAACCTGGCTAAGGATGTCCTCAAGAAGGTCGAAACCAATTGCGAACAACACCGTGAATTCAATGGCAACATGAAAGCGGCCCATGCTTGGATCGAAAACGCCAAGGAAGTCATTCGTGAATGTAGCGAATCTTCAAGTGCCGGATCGAAGGAGCTTTTGGAGAAGCGCTTGGAAAAGATTCAGGAACTTATACGCAACCGTGAGGTGGGTCAGAATCTTGTCCACACCGCCATTAACAATGGCGAGAAGGTGGTGCGCAACACTCGCTCCGATGGCCGCGATGCTATCAACAGTGAAATGAAGGATTTGCAAAACGACTGGGACCGCCTGGTCAAGAAAATGTCCACGGCCAAGGTGCAATTGGAAACGAATCTCTTGCAATGGGCCGATTACAGTTCCAGCTATTCCCAGCTGCAACAATGGATTCAAGATCGCGAGGCCAAGTTGCAACAGGCTTGTGAGCAGAAGATTACAAAGTCCAAGGGCCAACCACGCTTGAGCAGTGGTTTGAGCGAACGCAAGGCCAACTTGAGACAGACCAACAACATTGTCCAGGATATAGTCTCCTTTGAACCCATGATTCAATCTGTCACCTGCAAGGCTTCCGATTTGCAACAGGGAGCTCCAGCTTCGGAAATTTCCAGCAAATATGAAACCCTTACCAAGCAGGCCAAGGATCTGTACGAAAAGCAAAAGAATACTATCGATCAATACCAGGCTTTAATTGATGCCGGCAATGACTTCGCCACATGGTTGCGCAACGCCAAGGAGCGCCTCAGCAAATGTTCCGAACCCACTGGCGATAAGCAGGCCTTGGCTGAGAAAACTCATCAGCTTAAGATTTTGCAAGGTGAAGTTCCCGAAGGTCAAAAGAAATTGGAAGCTGCCTTGGAACAAGGTGAAATCGCTTGTCGCAGTGCCGAGCCCGAAGATCGTGAGATCATTGAACAAGAGGTGGCTCTCTTGCAGGAAGAATTCGATGCCTACGTGGACAATCTTAAGAAGACCAAAGACTATTTGGAAATGGGCATTGTCAAGTGGTCCGACTATCAAGACCAATATACCGAGGCTTTGGATTGGTTGACCAAAACCGAGGCTTTGGTTCAATCCTACAACAAATTGCAGGAGAACCTGATTCAAAAGAAGGTCGTATTGGAGGAGTTCCAAGGACACTTGCAGACTCTGTTCGACTGGCAGAAGACTTTGGATCACTTGAACATGAAGGCACAAATGCTGTTGGAGACTTGCTCCGACACCCGCATCAGTAATGCCGTTATGCAACTGACCACCAAATACAACGCGCTGTTGACTTTGGCCAAGGAAGTGATGCGTCGTCTTGAGATGCACTATCAAGAACACCAACAACATCACACCCTCTACGAAGAGTGTCAGTCATGGATTGAGCAGACCCGTGAGAAGTTGCAGAAATGCGAGGTCATACCGGGTACTTTGAGTGAGGTCCAAGCCAAATTGAATACCGTAAAGAATCTGAGACAAGGTTTCGAATCGGGTCAAAATAAATTGCGCTACTTGATGGAATTGAAGGAAAAGGTTATTATGAATACCGAGCCCACTGGAGCCGCCAAGGTTCAAGAGGACACTGATGCCTTGAAACAGGACTATGACGATTTGCTGACACAAATGAATGATGTCAAGCAGAAGTTGATGAACCGTTTGGCTCAGCTGGAAGAAATCTTCAAATTGTACAAACTTCTGCAAGAATGGCTGGAGGATGTTGAGCCTAGTCTCAAGACCACCGGTGAGTTCCTCAACGATTTGAGTGAGAAGAGAGCCGCTCTGGAGAAGTTCAGAGCCATACAGAGAGATTTCAATGGCCACAGCGACATCGTCGAGAAAATCAATAAACGTCTGAATGAAGACAACTCTTTGGATCGCAACGATTTCAAGCCTGGCATGGATAAGTTCGATGAACTGCAAGCCAAGGTCAATTCCATCATTGAATCGCTGGAGAATCAAGTAAACAATCACGATAAATACAAGCAAGCCTTCAACGAGACCCAAGAATGGTTGCGCAAGACTCGCATGGACATCGAGCAGTGCTCCGACTGTCATGGCGAGAAGCAACAAGTCGAAGATCGCATTAACAAGCTGGGCGAAATCGATGCCACAATGCTCGAGGGCAAGTCCTTGTTGGAGGCATGCCAAGAACTTTCCCAGGCTGTCATCAACACCAGCGGCAGCGAAGGCCAAGACACAGTGCAACAAGAGATTAAACATCTGAACTCCGAATGGGAAGCCATTCAAGTCATGTCGCGCGATGCTCGTTCCAACTTGGAGACATGCCTGAATGTATGGTCGAGCTTCTTGCAGAAATTCAATAAGATCAATAAATGGATCGAAGACATGACCAAGAGAGTCAATCAAGCCAACGAATCGGAAAATAAGACCCCCGAAGATTTGGTGAATGCCAAGGTAAGTGCCACCAGTCGCCACCAGGTGGCATAACTAAATGTACTGTGACTACCACACGCTTTCGTAGCAACCAAAAATAAAACCAAACGGCACCACTAACCCCCTTATCTAAGCAACTTCCAAATGCGAAACAACAACAACACCCTCACAAAAGCACTTCGTGATATCATTTCAATTCGTATTCTAACCTTAGATATTTAAGATTTCAGCACCTCTGTAATAACTAAGCTAACCCCGCAAACAAAACTATATCCTTGTAAATCAATTAACCCCTTTACGAACTAATTGCCTTTCTCCTCCATACTAAACTACTCACTTGCGAACAGTGGTCGAATAAAAAGTAATCTAATCCCCTTGCTTTCTCCTCTGTAGAAACTCTTGGAAGAAGTTGTCGCCGAAAAGGATAATGTCGAAGAACTGAATGATTCGTGTGAACTGCTGATGGAGCACAGTGCTTGTTCCAGAGTTAGAGATCAAACGGTTGACACCCAAGCCAACTACACCAAATTGCTGACATCCGCTCAAGGTAGGTTGCTTAGTGGAAATGTATGCATACCCGCCGTCATTTTTAATCGATTTTGTTTACATAATCGCAGGTTTGGTGGCTAAGATCGAAAAGAACTTGTCGGATCACACCGAATTCTTGAACTATAAAAACGAGATGGATGCTTGGATCGAAAAGGCCCAACACATTTTGGATGGCTGCAACGGCGAGGGTGATATCCAACAAATTACTCAGCAAATTGAGACCGTTAATGTAAGTTGTTGTTATTTTTATGAAAAAAATTAACGTCTGAATTTTTATTCTTCTTATCCAGTCTTTGTCATCGCGTTTGCCCGAAGGCCAACATCTTTTGGGCATGGTTCAAGATGCCTATACCAAGGCATCAAATGTCCTGCCAGAAGATAAACAAGAGAAATTACGTGATCTTATGACAAAGGTGCGTGAGGATTGGGACACATTGGGTTTGGCTGTTAAACAGAAGTTGATCGATTTGAAACAAGCCCAAAATCGCTGGTCCGACTTTTCTGCCAACAAAGAGAAGCTCGACAAATGGTTGAGCGACATGGAGCAGACCCTTAAGACTGTGCCAGATACTAAGGGCGAACTTGGTGAGATGAAGACCCAATTAGAACGCTACAAGACTATGCAGAACGACATCAAGCTTAAGGGCTCAGAATTGGAAAACCTAATGTCCGAAGCCAAGGAACTGGGTGTTGATTTTGATGATGTCCATCGCCTGCAAGGTCGTTGGGATAAGGTCAAGAACGATTGCAACAATCACATCAAGGAATTGGAATCCGAAATCAATGACTACACCTCTTATCATCAAGCCTTGCAAGATGTTGAGAAGTGGTTGTTGCAGATTTCTTTCCAACTCATGGCTCACAACTCGCTCTTTATATCGAATCGCCAACAAACCCAAGAACAAATCAAACAGCATGAAGCATTGCTGGATGAAATCCAGAAATACCAAGCCAACATTGATGACCTCAATGCCAAGGGTCAAAATCAAATAAAACGCTACGAACCTACCACACCTGCCATTCGCGACACAGTCGAATCCCAATTGAAGAACATTCAGGACAGCTACAATTCCCTGCTCCAAACCTCCGTACAGATACGCAATCGCCTGCAAGAGTCCTTGGCTAAGTTCCAAGAGTACGAAGACACCTTGGACAGCATTATGCGTAATTTGGAAGAATATGAACCGATTATTCAAACGGAATTGGATGCTCCAGCCACCACCTTGGAAATGGCTCAGAATCAATTGAAGTGTGCCCAGAATATGCAAAACAAATTGAATCACGAAAAGTCACGTTTGGCCAGTGCCGTGCAGGCATGCGAGGCAGCAACCGCATCCATCAGTCGCCCCAGTTCACCGCTGGAAACAGCTATGCAAGTTATTCCAGAGCGTGAATTAATTGTGCGCGCCAAGTTGGAAGATCTGCTGGACCAGGTATGTACTAGGCGGATTAAATAGGCATCTATATGACGTAGTTTTGTATATTGACTTATGTTTGTTTCTGTTGTTGTTATTTTTATTGTAGTTTGAAATAACGATTTTGATAATTTCTCATCTTTATTTAAGGCTTTAAGAGTTTGCAAATTATTCTGATAATAGTTCAAAATTAGGAGGGATATAGACGATATTCTATACTGACAAAGAAGCTATTGTAGCCCATTCACACAACTTCTCTGGACGGATTTCTAGTTAAAATTTTTAACTTTTCTAAACCAAGTTGGATTTTCTGTAAATTATAGTCCTTGTTAGATGACAGTTTTAGGAGATCCAACCAATAACTTTAATATATTTACTACTCTTTGGGGGTATTCGTATTGAAATTAAACTGTTGGGAAATATGACCAAGATGGACCTTCAATTATTGTATATAAATAGTTTACAGATACTAACAAAATGTATGGTAGATAACAGAATAACCCAAACATCTGTAAACTCACTGAAGTAGATCGATACTTTTTAGAGCATTTTATATTTATGTAGAATAGTAGCAGTAATCGTCTTTAGAACACATTTTGCAAACTCTGCTTATTTTTAATATTTTTGTTTTTTTTTTACTAATAATCATAATTATATTTTGTTTTTTATTTTTTTTTTTCCTTTTATTTGCTGCACTATGCACTTTATATCCATATGTTTGTGTTTTGCAAAACAAATACCCCGCAAAATCCTTAATTTTATTTTGTTGTGCCTCTAACACCTTTTAAACGCCCAAATCCACCCAAAAAACAACCAACAATGCTTCCACCTCCTATAATTTAATGAACAACAAAATCAACACCAAAACAAACAACAACAATATAATGCCAACAAACAGATACCCAGTAAACAAACTCAAAACTCAACGCAAGACAACGAAGATGATCTGCTAGACGTTGAGATTTCTGAAGTTAGTGATACTTTACTGGACGCCGTTTCACATGAACGTATTCAGAGATTCAAAACCATAATACGTTCCGAAATATATATTGTCCACACATTGTATGCTCTAAAGACTAAGGTAAGCTAAACTAACTCTTCTACAGTTATGTGAGTGTGATGTCCCGACATATGTCCAGGCCAAGTCCTGCTAATGGAAAGAACGTAAATTTAAAGAAAAAAATTGGGAAATTGTTATGGTATTTATGGTGTTGGCAAAAATCTCCTTCTTAACGCTTCTTTTTAATTGGCTTCTTTGTTGTTTTCTATGACATTGTGAAAACAATTTTTTTCTAATAATCCCACTTTTGTTTATCCTTTATAGGTTCAATCCCACTTGGGTGGATTGATTGCCTCCGTTAGTGAATTGGAGCAACAGCAGAAACAACGCGCCGAATTGGGTGACTGGATTAAGAAGCAACAGAGCTCGGTGACAGATTGGTTAACCAGACCATGCAAATTGCGTCCCGAAGCCGCCAAACAGGAGTTGGTTGCCATGAATGACTTGTTGAATTCCATTGGAGACAAGCGCTCCCAATTGATGTTGGAAATGACTGGATCACGTAAGTCGAAATGAGATAATTAACATTTTGAAATGGAATAGTGGAATTAGTCTGTCAGTGTATTTTCAATACCTTTTTTTCCAAAGAACATATTAAAGTATTTTCAAAAAATTTCGGAATAACCAATAAAGGGGGTTTGGGTCACAATAAAGTTATTTTTATAACTCAAATCCCATTCGTAATCTTTCTACAAATCCTAATGTACTAAACTCTCTTCATTTAGTTGCTGAAGATGATACAGATCTCGATGACAACATTGACAAATTGGAATCAGCACTCATGGATGCCATTGCCAAGAAACAAGCTGGCCAAAATGTTATCGACAACTATCGCCAGGGCGTACAAGATATGCAGAATTGGATCGATGGCTTGATCAAGCGTATGGATGTTCTCGACAAGGGTTCCGGCTTGAATTGTGCCCAAAAAATGGCTGCCATTTCCGAAATTAAGAACGAATACCAACAACAAGGTCCTCAAAAGCTCCAAGAACTAAAGAACAAGGCTGCCCAAGTGGCCGAAGTCATCAGCAATTTGGATGGCCAACAGGTTGAGGAACAAATGAAATCATTGGACCGCCGCTATGTCGATTTAGGCAAGCGTTTAGATCGCAAGGCCCAATTGTTGGATGTGACCAATAAGAGTGTTGGTGGTGTCAAGGGTGAAATTGATCAACTTCAAAACTGGGTCAAGGATAAAATCCAAGAACTACAAGCACCCACCACCTTGGGCTACGAACCTAAGGCCGCCGAGGCTAGACAGCAAGCTCTTAAGGCTCTAATGAAAGATGCCGAAGGTAAGCAATCGTTGGCCGACGCTCTGGAAAAGAGAATTGCCAATATGCAGCCCGAATTGGAACCTGCAGAATATGCCCAATTGGAATCGGCATTGCGCAATTTGAATAGCGAACAAAAGAATTTGTCGGGAGTATTGAAATCTGAAATGGAGAAGGCTTTGGATGCTGGCAAGGCTCGCAAAGCTTTGGAGAATGATCTGGAGAAGGCTCGTGCCTGGTTGAAATCCAAGATATCCGAAGTTAGAAAATTACCAGTCTATCATCCACTGACCTCGGCCGAAATCGAAGTGAAACTGCAAGAGAACAAGAAATATGATGACGATGCCAAACAATTCAGCGATAGCGTGCTAAGCGATGTCCAACGCCAGGCTGCAAATATAATGAAGGATTGTTCGGATGCCGACAAGGCTGCCCTGCAAAAGATTTTGGATGAAATTGATGCCGACTACAAGACACTCAAGGATGAAAGTGCCAAGCGAGGCAAGTCCTTGGCAGATCTATTGCAAGGTCGCAAGGCCTTTGAAGACGCCAAGAAGAAGATGGGCGATTGGCTCAATGAAATGGAAACTGCCACCGAAGGTGAACTGAGAACCTCAAGCCTTCCTGTGTTGGAAGAACAGCTGGCCCACTACAAGAAACTTATGGAGAATGCCGATGGCATGGGTGGTCTGATGAACGACATCAATGAACAGGGTAAGAGCATCGTGCCCACTCTAAGCAATCCCGACAAGCTCAAGTTGAACGAGGAGCTGAAGAATATGAAGGACCGTTATGGTAAGGTTAAGCAGTGTTTGGCCGACCGAGTGAACACCTTGGGTGATCACATCAAGAAATATAAGGATGCCAAGTCTAAGCTTACCGAATGCATGGACTTCTTGAACACCGTCCAGCAACGTTTGCGAGATCTTAACAAGCCAGTTGGCTCCAAGATTGAAGACGTCCAGGAGTTGTTGGGTGCCTACGAGGGCATTCTCAAGGAATTGAAGGACAGTAAACAGAAAATGGGCGACATGAAAGTTGATGATCTGCCAGAATTGCAGAGCATTTTGGCCCAACAGGATGATATGATTAAACTCATCGAAGATCAATTGGCCCATTTGAGACAATTGCTGTTGTTGCGCGAACAATTCATTGCCCTGATCAATGAGATCATCGCCTTCATCATGAAATACACCGATGTCATTATTGACATTGAAAACGCTCCCGATAGCTTGGAGGAGAAGATCAACAAATACGACGATGTCATTGCTAAGATCCAGGAATGTGAAGGTGTTTTGGCCTCCGCAACTGATAAGGGACAGAAGATTGCCTCCGAAGGCACTGCTGCCGACAAGAACTCCATTACCGAGCAACTGCAGTCGTTGAAGAACCAATTGGGCAATCTGCGCAAGGCTGTCGAACAACAAAGACAGAAACATCAAATCCAATTGGAGCACCACAAGAAAATGGCTGCTGAATTGTCTGAAATCCTCGACTGGTTGCACAACAACGAAGGTACAGTCAAATCCAGACCTCTGCTCGATCGCGATCCCGATAGTGTTGAGCGTGAACTGCAGAAACACAAGGACCTCAGCTCTGAGGTACAATCCTATCTGGATAAATTCAATAAAATCAACAGTGGCATTAAGAGCGAAGTTGGCATGCCCAGCTCCCTGGTCGAAATGTTGTCGGAAGGACGTTCGTTGGTATCCTCATTGCCACAGGAATTGGAGGAACGTGAGAAATATCTCATTAACAACCGCAATTCCCGCCTGGACTACATGAAATTGGTATCGCAATTCAAGGATTGGTTGCATGAGGCCGAGGATCGTTTGCAAGTTGGCAAACACGGCATTGATTATGAGAATCTGACACGTGATCTGGAAGAGCACAAAGTGTTCTTCGGCAATGAACAGCCCATACGCAATTTGGTGCACAAACAGATTCAAGATGCCGCCGACAAGATATGGCCATCCCTGAATAACTTTGAACAAACTGAGCTGTCTGCCGAACTGTCCCAATTCCAGACAAAACTGACCAACACCTTGGCCCAGGCTAAGACCCAACAGGGTGAGTTGGAGAAGGAGAACGAGTTGTGGCGTGAGTATCAACAATCAGTGGAACGTGTCAAGGCCACCATTGAACGCTCGAAGTTCTCCGATGAGCCAGTGCAGAATTTGGCTGGTGTTCACTTCAACATACAGAAATTGACCCATGCCATTGGTAATGTTCAGGTGAGTCAAAAAATGTATTTATTGCGGGATAATCTCTCTTGGAATCAATTATGTAATAATGATATTTATTGCTTAGGGCTGTGTAAGTGTTTATATATTACACCAATTTAGGAAAATTCGATTATCAAGTTAAATGATTTGTGTAGTTTTTAATTTCAAACGAATTTTTGTTTAAGGAAATTTCAATTAAAAGTTATGTTCTATAGCGAAATATGTTCTGTGTTTTACATGTACGGTCAACAAAACACCATCCATTGGCAAAGCATAAGAAGCATTCCTGTTTGGTTTGCCTACCCAAAAAAACGTAATTGTTGCAAACTCCTTTAAAGGCATACCCACACGCTTGTCGTCAATCAGTCGCCAAGCATTTGTGAGTTTGGAGAATTATGCAACCCAAGTGCATTCGCATTTTGCATTCGTTATGTAGGCTGGGGTTTTGACATAAGGCAGACATAAAAAAATGAAAAATAATGTACATATGTATTTTGTATAGTGTGCCATATTTTTAGGCAGTTTTTATATTTTGCCAGTGTGAAAGAATATTGATTCCATTAATCATCAAGTCGAATAGCCTGAGTGACTTTTTAATGTTGAGCTATTGAAACTTACTGTGAGCTTTGCTTAAAACTGTAGGATTCTTGAACATTAGGAATGTCTTCTATTGATTTTTATATCATATATATGTATACATGTCCGTCTATTGGCAACACAATAGAATTCTCAATATTTTAGATGGAGGTTTTCGTAGGATGTTTGACATGGAAAACGGTACATCGGTCCACTTTAATGCATTCAGTATTTTGAGGTTACATTCAGTAATGTTTCATCTGCAATTTGTATACCTTCCACCACAGTATGGGGTATATTAGATCAGTTAATTCTTTTACAACACCTCGTTGAAAAATTATTATTGTTTTTATAAAAACAACTTTTATTTATAAGTGAAGAAAGATGTTATTTTATACCAAGGTTTAAGGAAGGGAATACCTTGGTTTCGGTAAGAGCCACCTCAATCATAATCAGCACTTGTCTGGTGATATTCTTTCCAGGAGATCGGCATTAAATTCAAAATCAATTTATGTCTATCCACCTAATTGTTCAGAGAGAAACCATATATATAGAACATTGAAAATTGGAAAAGAACGTTTTTTATACCCTCAGCCATATGACTAGAGAGGATATATATCATTTGATACGGCCAAAACGTGACTCATCGAAATAACGGTTTTAGACCCTAGGTCTCTTTGGGCCAAGTCCGTTTCAGGATATATGGAGTTGGTTTAGTGATGTGCGTCCGTCCGTCTTTACGATAACCCTTGAAGGAAGTATTAGATTTGATCCAAACTTGATATATCGTAATATTATTATCAAACTTAGATCGATTTTGGAGATGGGCAATAACGGCATACTCCTTCTATCCCCCACAAAAGGTCGAAATTCTCAAAAAATGTATTTTCTGCACAGAAAGAGAAACGATAATCCGATTTTTCTCCAACTTTGCAAATGCTAATATTTGCGTCAGTGCTAGGACAGGTGCGAAAGTTGACAATATCGGTCCACTGCACTAAGTACCTCCCCCACAAAGGGTCAAACTTTTTAATAAAATGTGATGTAAGAGTCCTATTGTCATCAAATTTCACCCTCTCCAATAATTTAAGTTAAGATGGAATATATCGGTCCACTCCTTTGGTAACTCCCCACAAAAAGTCGAGATTTTCAAAGAGAAACGGTTATCCGATTTTTCTCCAACTTTGCAAATCTTAATATTTGCGTCAGTTCTAGGTCAGCTGCGAAAATGGGCAATATCGGTCCGCTCTATCAAGTTCCTACCCCACAAAGAATCCAAATTTTGAATTATTACAACTCATATAAAAAGTGATTTAAGAGTCCGATTGTCTTCAAATTTTACATATCCCAATAATTTTATTAACCCAAGGTCTGGTGTTAAGATGGAATATATCGGTCCACTCCTTCTGGTACCTCCCCCACAAAGGGTCAAAATTTTGAATATCCATGAAGCTCATAGACGCAAAATTAACATCCGATTCCATTCAGACTTGACACATCTAAATATTTCCGTCAACACAAGATTTGTTATGAACCCTATGTGGGGGAGGCACCATTTCTTCTGGTGCCTCCCCCACATAGGGTTCAAGATTTTGAAAAACAAAACGCTCAAAGAAAGCAAAATAAGCATCCAACTCTTTTCATATGTGAATACTATAAGGGCTTTAGACGCACTTTCAAAACCTAATTAGTTGTAATTTGTTGGTTTAGGTCAAAGGGGGGTATAAAACCATTTTAAACATTTCACGAGATTTAGTTCAACCTACTATTTTTATACCCTACACCACGTCCCTCTAAATGCGAATAATGGTATAGGGTGTTACGTAGTCTTTCCTTAATGTTTCGGATGTCGGACGTGTACAATTTTGAGGGATTTGTGGAGAGCAGAATTGGAGATTTTCATTCCATTTTTCTTTCATGGCTACCAAATAACTCTAAACCAGATCCTAAAATAATTCGATCTCTTACACGTTACTTAGATTGTTGGAATTATCGAATTTCTTTTATCGACATCCCTATCCTATGAAATAAGCCAACACTGTCAGTAATATATGGACTTCCACATACGAACTTCACTTAAGCAGAGCTGCAAAAACAACATCGTTTAAGCACGCAGTTTGTCTGGCTGTGACAAACAAGACAAACGTTTCGCGTTTTCATTATCCATGTGGCTGGTTGGCTGACTGGCTGACTGGCCATACCCCCACCATTCGTATCATTTGTATCTCTGGTCGTCATGCCATACATTTCGTATACAAGTATCTTCAAGTTACTGCCATCCATCCAGGCGTTGCATGACTTGTCTAGTCTCTCTTAGCCAAAAACAAAATAAAAGGAAAACAAAACAGCTGAGTTGGGTAGAAGATGAATGTGTCTTATCCAAGTAGTGGCGAATGAGAAGATAATCGATACAGGCTCACTCTGTGTGCCATCGAAAAGAAACAAAAAACTCGATTTCTCTTTAATCTCCCAAGTTTTCTCTCATCCAAAGAGACGACTCTTTTACAAGGCAAATTGTTATTGTTTTTTGGCATTTGATTACCGGCAAATGATGATGTCATTGTTAATTGTAATTGTCCAACAATGTGCTCCGCCGTTGATAAAGCTCTCAATGGGAGAGCTTAACACAATTTCTTTGCGCTCATGCAGAAAATTTGTTGTCATTGTCATATGGTTGTGGTTCATATTCAAGTTTCAGCTACTTTTACCGGCGTTTAACCGGCATATGACAGGAAAAAAAAGGGAAAAGACATCCAGTTCTTGCCCGCATACAAGAAAAGTTGGTATCATTTGAATTGCATTTCTAAAATGGCGAAGGAATTTTTATGGGCCAATACAGCTATTTATAGACTGGTTGTCAGCAACAATATATTACCGGTTGAGAGGTTATTTTACAGTTCTTTATAAACCCCAGAAATATTGAAGAAATTAAAAAGAAACACTTATAACAAAGGCTTGATTTGATATAATGTGTAGATCACAGAAAGGGGTACCTAAATATTTTTTTGAAATTAACCGAGTTTTATCCAAGCATCCACACCACGCCATCGATCTTCTCTTTTAAATTGATTATAGACACATTGTAAAAGGCAGAGAAAACATATTTTTTTTTATTGATTTAAAAAAGAGTTCAGCCACTCGCAATCTGTTCCAAAGCAAAGAGAGCAACTTCTAAAATACTACAATTATTGCGATTATTACAATCTGAATACACAGTACCCATAAATTCAAACTGTTACGTTCCATACAGTTTGCATTAAATTACCTTAAAAACAAATTTTATTTTTTTGTATAATTGCCAAATATTATTAATTTCGGAGGCAATTTACAGCTGATTCTCGCATGAGTAAGAGAGGTTGATGGTTAAAATGTACCATGTGTGTGGATGAGTCAAATACTTTACTTTTTCAATTACTAAATGAACACCAAATCAATTCGAAATGCCACAAAATTCAACAAAGGTGAATTTTATCCGTAGCATCTACTTCCTCCTAGGAAACAAATCTTCAGTTGTTAAAAAAAAAAAAAACATACAAAAGTCTTTCTTGGAATGCAACAACAAATGTCTTTACATTGTTACATACATATGTATGTGCTATAGAATTTCAAAACTGTCTGCAATGACCAGACATTATTAAATACTGTCTCTTCCGTGTTCTTTGGCCATAAAGGAATGTAATGAAAATCGTTGCTGACAATAGATTTCCCCCACACAGAAGCATCTCCCTGTGATGCATGCAGCCGGTCTAAACATTTGTTGTTTCAAAGTGTTTTTTTTTTTTGTTTTGGCCCTAACTTAGACCGGCTTATTGTTATGGACTCCACCTTAAAATTGTCTCATATATGTAATTTGGTGTATGTGTGTGTGTCAGCCTGTTGTGAGAGATAGATAGAGAATCTCTTTGGTTGTATGGCAATGCGAAAAAAGTGTAATTGATGACGTTAGCCAAGCACAACACGAATGGGAACTTCAAGTAAAACGTGTTTTTCATGGTTACCCCCGAAAATGGTTGGTTGCCCATTTGATGAGATACTTTTTTTCTGGTGTCTACTCGAGTTTAGTTTCTCTTCGACTGTGCTATCACGAAATGAGGTTGGAGAGGTATGTAGGGTTGCCAGTAAGACGGAAAATTAGAAATGTAGGCATTTAAGAACAGTGTTGGCTTGTTTGTTCGGGATACCGTAGTATTTTGTTGTTGCAAAATGGTCAGGTTTTATCCCTTTATTGTTGTTTTTATAAAAACAACGTTTGTTTATTAGTGGAGAACGATGTTTTTCCAAAAGAATTTTAGTTTTATTTAATTCTTTGGTTCCTCTTCTATTGAGCTTACGATCTCGTCACTTGGGTAAAAAATGTTTTTATCATAGAAGTTATTTTTAAAATAACTTCTGGGGAGAATATCCCAGACAAAAAACAAGGGAACTAATGAGGATTGGTGGGTCTTTCCAAAACCTAGGTATTCCCTGCCTTACCCCCTGGTAAACATTACCATCGTTCTCCACTAATAAACCAACCCATTCTGCAACCTCACCCACAAAGGGTCACAATTTCCAATACTTATATCTATCATGACTTGCGAAACAAGAAAAAGAAAGCATAACCGGATTCTTTACATCTGGCTATATCTGAGCATTTCTCTTAACCAGAAATCTGGTTTGTCGAAATTTATGATTTCGCATAAAATTGGATATAAATATTTGATTTCTTTCAAATTTGGCAAATGTCAGTATTTTTTCCGTATTAGATAAATTATAAAAATGGAATACTTCGGTCCGCTATAACTGTTACCTAACGCATATTTCCAAATTTTCCAAAAATGTGCACATATCTCATATAAAGTATAGGAAGTAGCCGATATAGCCTAAATATGGTTCGTTGTAATATTTATATCAGCCTTAGGTCAGATACGAATTGGTCAATATAGATCAACTGTTTTGGAACCTCCACCATAAAGGGACCGAACTTGCTTGAATAGTCATAAGTCAAGGCTGGGGGTATACATCTGTCGGCAAAACCGACTGATACTTTTTAACTTGATTCATTTATAGCTTAACCAAGATATGTTAAGAATGGATTTAAATAAAAGGATATGGAGTTAGCTACAATATGAAAATTCCCCCAATTTACTGTGATAGGCGGCCAACGCTGCATTTATCCATTCCGATGGATTTTTGGGACCTAATAGAATCCAAAGTTAACTCAGTAAATTTTTTTATATTTTGTCTTTCCTTACTGCTTTCTTAAATGCCTTGCAAGTCATCAGTACCAGGATAAACCTTGGACAGCATTGAATCACAATATATTGGACCGCAATAGTAGCTATCGCTATTTAGTTGAACAATTCAATATACACAGTGCAGATTTTATGAAAGCATGGATTTCCCCATGGAAATGCTTTGCCCCTATTTAGATGGCTGTTCATCCCATAAAATTTCCCCGTTAACAAGTTTCACAAGATCCTAATTTTTTACCGGCTAAAGTCTGATGGCAGCCCTAATTGACGAATGTCATTGTTTTGTTTTTATGCTACGGCCACAGCTGCCGCTAGCCGGCACATGTATCTGATGAGACGACGAAGAAAAACTCTCTTTCAAAGAGTGGAAAACACTTGTTCACGTTTTGTAATGGTGGTAGTTTTGTAGTGGGGAAACACAAACACACACTCACCGTATGGCTGTGAGTATCTGTATGAAGTCTGGCAGCAGCAGCAGCTTTTGCCTCGGCATGGCCAGAGTTGAGGTTTCATTTCAAAGTGAGCTTTAATGGACGTCGCATTTGTGTGAATTTTCGTTACGAGACATGAGTCCACGTTGTTTTTAGATCAATCAGAATCCGGTGTTATTTTGGTGTGTGAAAAAGAAATACTTTTTTCATTTTTCATTCAAAGTGAAGCAATTTCAAAAATTGTCTGAACAAAAATTTTGTATATAATACAATAAACAACAACAACACCAACAAAGTGAATTATCGTTGATTGAATGAAACAAAAAACAAATAAAAAACAAAACATATTGTAAAAAAAAAAATATAGGCCTAATCGTGCCGAGATAAGAATACCTAACCAAGTGACGAAAAAAAGAAGTGAGAAATCGTGGAAGAATTACAACAAATAAAAAACAACTTTAAGTTGTTTGTTTAACAAACAAATTAAAATATTTTACAAAACACAAAGCGACGTCATTTTTTTTTAAGTTTAATTTGAATAAAAAAGAAATATTGAAAGCAGCTTCTAAAGGTGAGCGAGCGAGCGAGTGAGGTGTGAACTGAGAGGAGAGACATTTACTTTGATTGTGAAATAGATGATGACCTCTTTTACCCTTGAATTATCCCTTAAAGAAAGAACAGAATGACAAAAAATAAGATAAAACAAAAAAAGGACATGCCAAAAAGGCAAAGGGGAGAGACACGAAAACATTCCAACGAAGCTCTTTTTGGATGGATAGATAGTGTTGCCGTTTCAGTTGAAATTTGCTACATTTACCGATGTGGGTACACATGTTAAAGGCATGTGTCCATGGAGGCATATGTTCCGATTTCCTTGGAACTGTTATGTTCGTTTCGCAATGTTCAAAATGAAGAGATACTCTAGTAGTCAGTCGATGACTACCCCAATGGAAAATTCAATACTTAGTAATATGCTCATCCTCAAAATTAAGATTATACATAAACTCTGTCTCCCGTGGAAGACGGAGTTTTTTTTTTGCATTAAAGAAATTGTTAAAACAATTCTAACTTTATATTCTTTAAACTTTTTTATTGTTTTATTAATTCTTGTTAAGAAAAGTCATCTGTTCTCCTTATATTTATCTCTGTACATATGTCCACAACAATTCTTCCTTCTTGGCAGTTTTCTCTTTTTTACTGTGCTCTCTTTAACAATTCACAAGATGTTAATATTTAGCCTAAGAGAGTGTTAGAGAGAGAGAGGGGGTTTCCTATATAAATAAAATATATAATTTGTCTTTTAACTACAATTTTATCTTATTTCTCTTTCTGCTCTTCTTTCTCCGCAGAGTCAAACAAGTGACATCACTCTAGCCAATCAACAAGCCCAAGGACTTTTGCGTCAAGCTGATGCCCGCAATCGTCAGCTGATTGAGCAGGACAATCTTGAATTGAATCGCTTGTGGCAGGACCTCATTGCTTCGTTGGAGAAGAGGCGTGACAATTTGCAATCTGTCGCCGATAAGTGGGACGAATTCGAGAATCGCTTATTGAGCTGGGAAAAGGCCATTGGACGTTTGTCGGATAAATTCCGCAATGTCGACCCAGTGGTAAGATCTCGTCGTCACTTGGAAGATACAAAGCATGCCATCCAGGTAAGTGTTTCCGATGTTATTTTAATTTATTATTATTTTGTTTTATCTACTTAACAACAATTCGGCAATTTACACAAGTGACGTGATTTTTTGGTTGTTGTTGTAAAACTCAAAGAAAAACCAGTTGAAACCTTAACACCGCCCTTCGCCAGCTATATTCGGCATTTATTCACAGTTTATCAATTCCAATCAGGTTTTTAGGCTTAACTAGCGCCGAGCAGGCAAGCAAGCAAGCAATTTTAACAGCCTAAGCGGTGTGGGCAGCCACAATCAAGTTTCTTCTTTGCAAAACTTTTGGGCCATAAATTTTTGGTAGACTCTTTGCGTTGTTGCTGTTGTTGTTAATGTCTACTCGTCGGTGTTCATAGACAAGATAATATCTATTATTGTTGGTAATACATGTATTATTAGAAGGAGGCCTAACACTTAGTTGTGTATGGATTTCAATTACTTCCGCTAGACTTCATTTTAACAAAAGGAACGAGTTTTGTAATAAAAAATTAATTCAACAGCATTCCTGGCTCATAAAGCGGATGTGTACCTTAAAGTGTAACATTAGAATAGAGAGACCTAGTGCAGAAGACTTTTTATAGATGAATGCGAAGATGTTGGTTTTATACCCCCCGCCATATGGCTACAGAGGGTATATATCATTTAATTCGGCCAAAACATGCCTCGTCGAAATAACGGTCTCTTGGGACCAAATCCGTTCAGAATATTTGGAATTGATCTAGGGGCATCCGACCGTCCGTCTGTCTGGCTGGTATGAACGATAACTCTCGGAGGAAGTATGTTATTTGGTCTAAACTTGGTACATCGTAATATTGTTATTATTAAACATAGATCGAGTTCGGAGATGGGCAATATCGATCCACTCCTTCTGCTACCTTCCCCACAAAAGATCGAAATTTTCATAGAAAATAATGCTTAATAGAACAAGAAAGGATCATACAATTTTGTTCAACCCTCGCAAATCCTAATATTCGGATCACTGATAATGGACAATATTGGTCCACTCCATTAAGCAAGTACCTCCCCAAAAAAGGGTCAACATTTTGAATTGTTACAACTCTTATCAAATTTGAAATAAGGGTTCGATTTCTTAAAGTTTTAAAGTGTAGCGCATCTCAATATTTTTGCCAAAACAAGGTCTGGTATGAACATGAAATTTGTTGTGCCACTTAATCTGGTACCTCCCACACAACGGGTCAAAATTTGGAGCAATTAGATATTTCATGAAATTGCAAAATCTCCCTCACCATGGTAAACAGTTTGAATAAAAAAAGGCTCATTAAAGCAAAATATGCAACCAATTCTCGTATCGGATCTTATTAGTTTCGATATTTTGAAGACTTGACTTATACAGGGTGAAATAAAAAAAAGCTGCAACAAAGTCAAACGCCATAAATTCTAACATTTTTTAAATTTTATTGAATGAAAGCCAAAATTTCGGAAATAGCATAAACTTTTAGAATAACTTTAGATTTGTTCGAATTGGTCAACTTTGGCACAAATTATGACTTCCAAACGGCCAATGAAACCGTCACACGCTGCCTCAATGTTGCTCTGCGGTATTTTGGCCCTTTCCCGGCGAAGCGCTTGCTTGAGGTGATCGACACTTTGGTATTTGTTAGTACCAACCTTGCTTTCCGAAATACTCCAGCCACAATAGTCCAACGGATTGGTATACAGAGATTTTGGTGGCCATTGTGCGCTGTAAATGAAGCGAGGAACCTAATTTTGTAACCATTCTAGGGTGGCGCGTGCTGAGTGCGATGGTGCTGGGTCCTGTTGAATTGTCGAAAGACTGCAGCCAAAATGTTTGAGTACCCAAAGCTTTAATACACCCTCCAGAATATTTTCGCGATAATATTCGGCATTTAGTCGATTAATACGAGCGGAGAGCGACCATCGGGTTTTATGGCGGCCCACAACATCACCGTGGCCGGTGCTTGAGTTCTGGTGGCCAACCGAAGGTGTACATTTTCAGCCGACCTCTTTGGCAAGTAAACACAATCATTTTGTTTGTTTACAAACTGCTGGACAACGAAAGTTTTCTCATCGGAGTAAACCAAATGCGTCAGTTCACCACTTTCGGTCAAGCGAAGCAACTCCATAGCTTTTTTGTGTCTATTTTCTTTCTGTTGCGGAGTAAGTTCTTGCACTTTTTTGAATTTTGAATGGCTTAACCCCGAGCTCATTTTTCAATATTTGCCCAATTCAATATTGCGATATGTTCAGCTCACGAGCCATTTTTCGGCCACTGCGACGCGGGTTTCGATTTTCGAGTCGCTTCGTTACTTTTCGAACCATTTCTGCTGATGTTGCTGTTTTCTTCCGTCCACTTCCTTGACGTCGGGCTACGCTACCAGTATTACGGTAACGAGCGATGGTACGAGACTCGAAACATTTATTCACATTTAAATGCTGGAGTGCTCTAACGATAGCCACTTGTGTTTTCCAGCCAAATATAAAGAAATCACACTATCACGTTTGAATTCCACCGCGAATAACATTTTTTTCTGGAAAATTCGCACCAAAATGCTTTTGTACGCTTATAAACAGTTAATGAGCTGTCACGGGAATAATTTTAACAGCTGTCGGACGAGTGGCATAAAAATGTCAGCAGTCAGAATTTGGTTGCAGTTTTTTCATCTCACCCTGTATATTCATATAACAATCTGAATAAAAAACAATTTTTTTTCAAGTTGTGCTAATTGAAGCTCACAGCATACCACTTGAAATTTTATATTTGTTTATAAATGTTAAGTGTAGCCGTTTTGGGGCCAGAGTACTTAATTTCACTATCCCACCTCGAATATTGTCTTTTGGGACTTGAAGTGAAATTGAAGAATCATGGTATAATTTATTCAGAATTTCATTTGACTCTACGCCTTTGGTTTCATGTCAACATTACTTTCATATTTCTCAATAATTGACTCAATACCAGTTTAGCAATTTTTTATGCAAATTCGATTCTCGTGATTTGTTTATTATTTCATTCATTTCATATGTGTGTCTGTTTGCGCGAGTATTTGTGTCTGTACTAAGTGATTTTTAATTTTATAAATTCTACTTTTTTCATTAAAAAGCCATTGTGGCTCATGGTCGGTCGTCACATAGACAGACGCGAAGGTTTTAAAAACGAAAATAAAAAATAATTAAATAAATAAACGACTAATGGATGGATAGATGCATGCCGCCAGCAGGTTGCATGGTTGGCTTTTATAATTGAAAAACAAAAAAAAATTATATAATAAAATTTATTAACTGCAATAATTGTATGGAATTCCCAATGCAGTTTTTTTTTTGCAAACAATCTTCGATTACAAAACCGATTAGGCGGCTATTTTTAGCCAGCACAAATAAACAATGAAAGCGTGAAACGCCAACATTCATTGATTCAAATGGATGAAAACGAAAAGAAAAAAATAACGAACATCGAATCTATGTGGTGGTGTATAGAGCAGCAAATTTTCTTAATCGCCTCAGATAATTAAGCTTTCAATTAAACGTAATCGTAGCAACGACTAAAACCAATGATCCACTGATCTACAGGCCCAGTGACTGTTGCCTTCAAACACATAAATATGTGAGTGTGATGTGTGGGTCCCAAGCATGCCTCCCAAGAACTGATAAGCAGTGTTATTTTTTTTGTCTGTTTGCTATTTAATAATGAAGTGGAAACGAAGAAGCCGTCTGCCGTGAGTCATAAAAAAAGGCAAATACTAGAAAAAGCAATACTGATATGTCCATAATAATTAAAAGTTATGTCAATTATCTAGCAACGTCTAATTAGGTTAATTTGTCAAGTGTCGTTTGTTCTAATTTACATATATTCTCTCTTTGGGAGCAGAGGAAGAGAGACGACCTTATTTCCATTTTTTTTTTCAAGTTTATTCTTTTTCAGGGGAATTACAGTAAAAACGGAAGTATTTTATGTATACTTTTCTCGTTAAAACATACAATTTCGAATGTAATAATAATGAGGTTATATAAATATACCGTTTTTACAGTTTTTGAAAAATAACACTGGTTTTAGTAACACGTGCAGCTGTGTGGAAATTTTACTTTCGTTTTAAAATTATAGAAAGAGTACTTATTTTGATAGTTTTTTATGCTTTTCCGAAAGCTGTCGATAGCAAAGAAAATCACTGTCATACTTCACTCCGATCTTCAATACAGAAGGTGGAGTGTTTTACTTTATAATGCGAATGTTATTTAATATCAGAGCTCGAAAATGCTCTAGCGGGTTTCAGTCTCTACTTGAATTTGAGCGGGAGTACTCCTGCGAGTATAAACCGAAATTGATTTAATTCCATTTATCTATACCACTCGAATAAGAGCGAGTATGTTTTGCTCCTTTTCGAGCGAGAGTAAACATGGTTATATTTTTGACGGGTACTCTTTTAGTCGTTGTACAATGGTTGTTTTATATGTAAATGTGTGAATTTCCAGTTCCCAGTCCGCACCGGTTTGTTATTACTACATGTATGGGCAAATCTGAAAACAAAATAGTTTTTCCACTCGCTTTCACTCTTAGAGTAAGCTTTTACTCTATTTCAAACATTTTTACTCCCACTTTTATTTTCCAAAACTTCTTGTATAAATTTGGTATTTGGTGAATTAATAGAGCTGAAATTTGAATATATGTTAGTGTTGGTGTCTGAGGTTAAGGTTCGGAGGTTTGGAAATGCCTATTATGGTTGTTCGAAAAGTAATAATTGGGTAAAGGGATGAGTACTAAAATTATACGAAAACTACTAAATGTTACTAAATTTTGGTATTGGGCGAAGGGATAGAGCTGAAATTATGAAATTTGATACTGAAATCACTGTTTCAAGGCTTTACGTATGACGTTAAAATTGTTTCGGGCGAAAAAAATAAGATCTTTCTCCGTAAACTTCAAAATGAAAGATTTTTAAGACTTGAGGTATAAAAGGTAAACATTTCCCCCTCAAAATGAAAAAATTATACATTTTAAATATTAACAAGTAAAA